AGTTCTGCCGTGTCCTGCGCCAGACCGACTGCGCGGGGCTGCCTGTCTACTGCCCCTTCTACCGGGCAGCGGGAGGTGAGTGACCCTGCGTGTGCCTGTCCCTGTGCCCGCTTATGGCAACACCACCCCTCGCCCGCTGCATGTGGGTGCATCTCTGTGCCATGGCCCTCCCTGGGGAAACCTGCCTGCTCTCCACAAGTGGCTCTTCCCCACTATAGCTGACAAGGTCCCTCTTGTAGGGGCTAAGGCCCTGTGGGCAGGGGCAGGAGGGGCCCGGGGGGGCTCACACTGACCCATGGTGTCCTCTGCCCAGCCCTGCTGGGTGTGAACCTGTGGCCGGAGGAGCCAGTGCCCCGATTCCTGCTCTGTCCTGACTGGGCTTTCTATGAGTTCCTGCCCTGCCCGGCCGAGGTGGAGCCACAGACGGTGCTGCTGGGCGAGCTCTGGGAGGGACGCGAGTACCAGCTGGTCCTGACAGCCCGGTCAGGAGAGTACAGGTGCCTCCTCCCTGCTGGGGTGGTCCGAGGAAGGGGTGCCTACCCCAGCCCCATGTGCCTGTTCTCTTCCCCCATCACGGTCCCTCTGCACGCGCAGGTGCCCTGCCGGGGAGGTGCTGAGGGTCACTGGTTTCCACAAGCAGTGTCCCTTGGTAGAGCCTGTGCGTAGGTGAGGACACCCCAGCCCCCGACCCTCACCTAGGGGGGTTCTGTGTTGGGCAGGGTCCGTGTGGGACGGTGCCAGAGGCACCCCTAAGTACCTAACCCGACCCCCTGCAGGGAAAGCCAGACACTGAGCGTGAGGGGCGAGAGCATTCCTGAGGATCGGTTCTGTCGGAGCCTGTGCCGCGCCGTGGGCATGTGGCCGGGCGCTCGTCTGCTCGACTATGTCTGCGTGGAGAGTGACCTGCTGGGTGAGTGCCCCCAGGAGCTGCCCGACCTCCCCCGACAGCATGGCCAGGGCTGCCCGGGGCTCCGCCAACCCTCCTTATGCCCAGTGGGGCTGGGGGGCTGCAGGTGCCTTTAACACGCCCGTGGTGCTGCTGCAGGCGCCTCTTCGGGGATCTGCGCCCCGCACTACGAGGTGTTCGTGGAGCTGCAGGGCTTACGGGACCTGTCGGAGGGGCAGCGCTACAAGGTGAGGGGACTACGTGGGGTGGCAAGATCGGAGCCTGCCCCGTGCCCGCTGCCTGCCCCGCTGC